CTACCCTCTGTCTATGCAGCTCCAGCCAGGTGGGGAGCTCAGCCTCGTCGCCAAACACTGTGCGCCAGTCGTCGCTCAGACGGGCGAAGCAGCGGGACTGTGTGTGACCAAGCGTCCCACAAGGCTGACCAGTCCTAGCACCTGTGCGAATGACGTACGGGCAGCGGACTGTACGCGTAGACCTGCTACACTGAGCGTACCACTCCTGGAGCTGCCGGGGCGTAAGTGTCTCACGTGGACGTCCCTGCAGCTGCAGCTGGCCACTGCCAGACGCTCCCAACTGACCAGCTCCAGGGCGACAGCTACGACGGCTACCGCGACAACCCCAGCTAGTATACCACTCACTAAGCTGCTGAGGCGTCAGAGGCTCGCGTGAATGTCGCTGGAGCTGCATCTGGCCACCTGCCAGTAGCAGTAGCGCAGGCAAGGCAGGCGCGGCAGGCAGGCAAGCAAGCAGGCAGGCAGGCAGGCAGGCCGGCAGGTAGGCAGGCAGCCAGGCAGGCAGGCAGGCAGGCAGACAGGCAGGCAGGTAGGCAGGCAGGCAGGCGCTCACCAAAGGCTGGGAGAGCAGGGCCGGCGCTCGAGTAGGCGCACGACAGCGGCGACGTCGGGGCCGCAAAACCGGCTGCAGAGCAGGGCCGAAACAGCTGGAGGGCGGGGCCGCGTCAGCGGCAGTAGCAGGGTGGGGCCGCGTCAGCGGCAGGTCGGGGTCGTGGCAGCTGCAGGGCGGGGCCGCATCAGCGGCAGGTCGGGGCCATGGCAGCTGCTGGGCGGGGCCGCATCAGCGGCAGGTCGGGGCCGAGGCAAAGGGCCGCGCGCGGCCGCGCTAGGGAGTAGCGGGCCGCGCGCGGCTCGGCGCGGGCTGTTGCGGGCCGCGCGCGGGCCGTGCGAGGCAGGAGCAGGCCTCGCGCGGCTCGGCACGAGCTGCTGCGGGCCGCGCGCGGGCTGCGCGAGGCCGTAGCAGGCCGCGCGCGGCTCGACGCGGGCTGCGCGGGCTCGGCGCGGGCTGCGCGCGGCAGCTGCGAGCTGCGCGCGGCTCGGTGCGGGCTGCGCGCGGTTGCAGCGGGCTGTGCGCGGCTCGGTGCAGGCTGCGCGCGGCTGCAGCGGGCTGCGCGCGACTCGGGGCGGGCTGCGCGATCTCGGTGCGGGCAGCGCGCGGTAGCAGCGTGTGTGCGGGCCCGACAGGCGTGTAGAGGCGGCGCGCGGGCCTTACGGGCCTCTAGGGGCAGCGCGCAGGCAAGGCAAGGCAAGGCAAGGCATACAAGGCAAGGCAAGGCTACGTGGGGTAGCGCGGTAACCGCAGTGGTAGGTGGGCCCGAAAAAAAAAAACGGTCCTACGGACCTTAGGTTTGATCACTGTGTTGCTTGTCTTGTACTATATCTAGCACTGCATGTGAACTGGCCTTGTGGCCTTTGCTTGTGCTCGGAGTGTGGTGACGTTGTGATCCACCCTGGGCTTGCGTTGCTTTGCTGGACTGGTCTTGTGACCCTTTGTTCTCCCCCACTTTGCCTATGGGGGTGTGTTAAATTGTAATGTGTTATATGTTGGTAGGCTGTAGTGGGGTAGCCAATATGGGGTACAACCCCAACTAGGGTTTCATATTTGTACCCAAACTTCTGCTAGTTCATTCATTCTTGCCTAGTTATTCTGATAATAGGTTCTTTGTTAACCAGCACTCGTTTATAGTTTTGAACGGTCCTCTTATTGGGCTCTTCATTCTTAGATCGGTTTCTTAATTATTTGTTCCCTTTCTTCTTTTGTAGTTTTTTTGTTTCTGTTGCACCTAGTTTCCTTGCTTCTCTATTTTCTCTTGTTTCTCTGATCCTTTTTATTTTCTGTTTCACCTCTTTCCATATGCTTCTTTCAGCATGTTTGTTATCTGATTCTTGTATCCATGTTAACTAACTGGTTCTTTTTTTTTTTTTTTTTTAATGGAAATTGGATGTATCAAATCAGTTCAGCACGTGAATAGCAAAATTATAATGTATTGTGTCATTGCTAGGATTCTTTGCGTTTCTGTTGTACAATTTTGCACCTTATCCTCATTGTTCCATATTTGTCTTTCTTTCTTTCTATTGTTGATTCTTTCCCTTGTTGTTTTCTTCAGGAAGTGAAGGTTTTTTTGGACGGTGCAAAACAAAGATAAGATGGTTCCGTGTAGGATTATATGTATATGGCTAGGGTTTAATTCTGATTTTAGTTTTTTATTATTATTTTTTAACAGTTGATGCATTGAGCGTTTTTCGTTTGTGTGAATATGTGTGATCATGTGCTGTCAGAGGTCCACTGGGGATCCCCGATGATCCTAGGGAAGGGTTACAGGCACGTCGGCCTGGGGGGTTATGGGCGCACTCACCCGCTACACAAACAAGCCCTTTTATCCCAATGGTTAGTGGTTGGGATTCTGACATGGTATCAGAGCGAAGGTCTCGGGTTCGATTCCCGGTGTGTGCACTTCGGGCATCCCAGTGCGGGGGGGTGTCAGAGGTCCACTGGGGATCCCCGATGATCCTAGGGAAGGGTTACAGGCACGTCGGCCTGGGGGGTTATGGGCGCACTCACCCGCTATATAAACAAGCCCTTTTATCCCAGTGGTTAGTGACTGGGATTCTGACATGTGCATGTCTTTGTATCTGTCTATGTGCGTGTGTGTTTGCATTGTGTTGTGTGCGTATGTGTTTTCATTCATGCTTCCATTGCATTAATAACACATGTCTGTGGGTTTTAAAAAATTGGATCAAACTATCATTTCCGAGAAGGTTCTTTGCCCACTCAGTGAGTGTGTTCATTTGAACTGGATTTGATAGAATTGACCTTTTTTTTACTTCGCACAGATTGTGTTGTTTCATGTGACAGTTGGATGACTCAGGAACTATGCTATTGAGCTCCCCCCCATGCTAGGCAGGGGATGCCGTAGCATAGGGTCTGTGTCAATTAACTGTGACGCATTTTTATCATGATATGCATTCATTTCATTACCACAGTAGTATATGCAACATAATTATGCATTTTTCCATTAAATATTTTTTTCACCATATCCATCATTATACTTCATCTACGCATACCGTAACATCATCCGGCTTATGCATTACGGAATAAACAGTCACGCGTTCACAGGAACATCATTTTAGCAACCCATAGAGTATAGGTTCGGTCAAGGCGAACCAAGAAATGAGAAGAAATGTGGTACGGCGCATACTAAATTGCCATGGCAAAGACATGGCAGTCAGTCACTTAGTTATCTTATCCTTTTTTTTTTTTAAGTAAAGAGGATGAAAAAAAAATTGAACATAACGATTGTAATAGGTAGCTTCGCAACCCAAAAAAAAAAAAAAAAAAAACACCCCCCCATGATAGAGCACCCCCGGGTAGCTTGTGCGGGGTGGGTGCTATGGGCGACCTCGATTTCACTATACCCCCCTTTTTGGATGATTTTTTATAACACCCCCCTTTTCTTACAGATTCTATATTATAGCTGTTAACGAGTAGGTGCAAGTACGGGAGTATATCGCGAAAATCCCTCGCTCGATGAAATTTCCCGGTTCTTTCACATCAAATCTGTCGAGATTCCCCCCCGCCCACTATTTCGCTGTCGCCACGTGCTGGCGAATCTTCCGCTGCAGGTGGCCAGAGAGGTGCCAAATGACCTTTTCGAGGGGGTGATGACGTTGGCATCGAAACTCACATTCGCGCCTCAACATGTGATGTTAAAAAGCCCATGGAAACACTCAAATTGTCTAATAATAAAAACTCTAACACTAAAATATACCATATATATGCACCCGGGTATTATGTAGCTTTTTCCTATGAGAAGACACCCCCCTTTTTTTTCCTGTATTTTTAAATCTACCCTAGGGTGTTATGTCCGGGAGAATACGGTACCGTATTAGAGAAGATGTTACACCATTTGTTGTAGAAAAAAACACTCTTGTGTAAAAAAATTGTGGTAACTATTTTCGGCGTGGGAGCCTTCTTCAGGCCAGAAGAAAGAAAGTGAGACCCCGAGGAGATTTACATAATGACCTCGAGGAGGTTTACATAATGACCTCGAGGGGATACAACTTGCTATTAAGCTTGGAGGAAACCCGATGTATGATGTATCTGCAAATAAATCTGCAGTAACAAGCTACACTACGCGAGCACTTACGAGCACAAACTGAATAGCTTCCAACCATGCCAGATCAGCATTCCTCCTTCCTTCCTTGTAAAGATATCGCGTGGCATTGTATCCAGGTGTGCTTTTAGTCGGCTCAAAACACACACAAGTGGCTGAAGCTGTGGCTGTGGTCGTGAACCAGCTAGCGCCTTGGCCTTGAATAACATAAAGGGAAGTGACTGTAGAGCAGCAGAGGCGCATGGGACTCACTGTCAGCGATGGCGTCAGCCAATGCCCTAGCGCCATCTGTTCCCACACGAGTGGACGCGAATCGAAAGTCCTAGAGCCCCCTCGCCTCCCTCACCACGTGTGCCAGAATGGCAGCACCAGGATCACCAGCACATGATGGTGGGTATGGTGGTTGAAATGGGCAGAATACGCATGGTGCACCGCATGGCATGTAGCAGCAATAGCCATCTTCATGCCCTGGCCCTCCCTCTCTCGCCATCTTCATGCCCTGGCCCTCCCTCTCTCGCCACGCCCACAAGAATGGCGGCCCCTGCATCCCCTGCACGTGGTGGTGTTCCATATGGTGGTGGATCTGGTCTGATGCGATGTGATGTGATGTGATGTGATGTGATGTGATGTGATGTGATGTGATGTGATGTGATGTGATGTGATGCGATGCGATAAGATGTGATGTGATGTGATGTGATGTGATTGTGATGTGGTGTGTGATGTAATGAGTGGGCAAAGGAGTGAGCGACGCAGGTCCTTGAGCCCTCTCACCACGTCCGCCAGAATAATGCCCTCCGCATCCCCTGCGTGTACTGGTGGGTATGGAGGAGAACGGCAAGGGGCAAAGGGGTCAGCAGCGAATATCCTTGAGCCCTCTCGCCTCCCTCACCATGTCCGCCAAAATGACACCACCTGACTTCCCACCTCCCAACTCCCCACCTCCCAAAGAGGTGAGGCCAATGATGACAGCAGGCAGGCAGGCAGCTCACCCGACATGTTGTTGAAGAAATGAAGAGTCTCGAGGGACGCCACCACCTGGGTGGGCAGTAGCTCCCTGATGGCCACCGCTGCCTCCTTGGAGATGCCATTGTTGCAGAAGTAGAGCTGGCGCAGCCATGGCTGCATGGGGAGGGGGGGGAAGGGGGGGGGGGGGGGGAAGAGCGGGGACGGGGGGAAGGGGAGGTTGGGGAAGGAGGGGAGAACGGGGAAAGAGGAGGGCAGGTAGAGGAATAAGACAGAGGGAGCCAGGGATTGGCCGAGTGCGAGAGAAGGAGCCTCCTGCTGCCTGCTGCTGCCCCTTTGGAGATGCCGTGCTTGCAGAAGTAGAGGCGCAAAGATGGCTGGAGAGGGGGACGAAGGGAGGGAGAGGAGCGCAGGAGGGGGTGAGAGGAACGGGGAGTCGGGGGCTGGGCAAGAGCGAGAGAAGAGGGTCCAAAGTAGCCAGGCCAATGCCCTCCATGTGAAGGCACAATGGCTCCTTGATGACTGCTGCTGCCTCTCTGCTAATGCCGTTGTTGCACAAGTAGAGGTGCCGCAGAAAGAAGGGGGAAAGAAATGGAGGATAAAAAAAGGAGGGAGAGAAGGAAAGGGAGGGGAGGTGGGGATATAGAGAAGGGGGGGGGGGGTGGGCTGAAAGAAACCGGGAGAGAAAGGAGGGGAGCGGAGGTAGGGTGGGCAGTAGAGAAGAGCAAAATTCAAGTTGAGAAGAGCACAAGTCAAGTAGAGAAGAGCACAAGTCAAGTAGAGAAGAGCACAAGTCAAGTAGAGAAGAGCACAAGTCAAGTTGAGAAGAGCACAAGTCAAGTAGAGAAGAGCACAAGTCAAGTTGAGAAGAGCACAAGTCAATTTGAGAAGAGCACAAGTCAAGTGCCGGATTCATGACTTTACTTCAACCTCAACGCAACTCCCGGCTGACTGACTCTATTCGAATCTCGTGGCTCGAAAGTCAACCACGAGAGGTGAGGGTGTGGGTGTGGGTGTCTCACCTGAGAGGTGAGCGCAACAGCAGCAGCTCCCTTCTCGCCAAACACGTTTTCTGAGAGCTTGAGCGAGTGGAGGTTGCAGCCTTCAAGCGCCGATGTCACCCTCGTGATCACCTGCAGTGCCTCCTCCTCCTGCTCCACCAGATACACACACAGGCACACACGCGTGCGCGCGCACACACACACAGGCACACACGCGTGCGCGCGCACACACACACACACAGGCACACACGCGTGCGCGCGCACACACACACACACAGGCACACACGCGTGCGCGCGCACACACACACACACAGGCACACACGCGTGCGCGCGCACACACACACAGGCACACACGCGCTCGCACACACACACACAGGCACACACGCGTGCGCGCGCACACACACACAGGCACACACGCGCTCGCACACACACACACAGGCACACACGCGCTCGCACACACACACACAGGCACACACGCGCTCGCACACACACACAGGCACACACGCGCTCGCACACACACACAGGCACACACGCGCTCGCACACACACACAGGCACACACGCGCTCGCACACACACACAGGCACATACGCGCTCGCACACACACACACACACACAGGCACACACGCGTGCGCGCGCACGCGCACGTACACACACACACAGGCCGAATGCATTGCCTGAAAGGTTGAGCGAGTGGAGGTTGCAGCCCTCCAGGGCCCATGTGATCCTGGCTCTCACCTGCCGCGGCTCCTCCTGCTGCCCTATGATCACACACACACATGCACAGGGATTACAGCCAGCTTGCTGTCGTCCTGCCATATGATCACACACAGACAGAGGCACACCACCAACACAGGCATGGGCACAGGCATGGGCAGAGGCATGGGCAGAGGCATGGGCACAGGCATGGGCACAGGCATGGGAGGAGGCATGGGCAGAGGCATGGGCAGAGGCATGGGCAGAGGCATGGGCAGAGGCATGGGCAGAGGCATGGGCAGAGGCATGGGCAGAGGCATGGGCAGAGGCATGGGCAGAGGCATGGGCAGAGGCATGGGCAGAGGCATGGGCAGAGGCATGGGCAGAGGCATGGGCAGAGGCATGGGCAGAGGCATGGGCAGAGGCATGGGCAGAGGCATGGGCAGAGGCATGGGCAGAGGCATGGGCAGAGGCATGGGCAGAGGCATGGGCAGAGGCATGGGCAGAGGCATGGGCGGAGGAACAGAAGCAGCATGCACGTGTTGGCTTGACAAGGAAGGAAACACAGCCATCCATCAGACGAGCACAGCCATCCATCAGACGAGCACAGCCATCCATCAGACGAGCACAGCCATCCATCAGACGAGCACAGCCATCCATCAGACGAGCACAGCCATCCATCAGACGAGCACAGCCATCTATCAGACGAGCACAGACCTAGGCATGCACGGGCACAGGCACGGGCACAGGCACGGGAACAGGCACGGGCACGGGCACGGGCACAGGCACGGGCACAGAACAGCCCCACATGGGCGCCACACCCCACATGGGCCGCACCCCACTTGCCGTCCCCATCCCTTCCCCCTACGTCCCCCCTCACCTTCCCTCCCTTCCCCAGTCCCCATTCCAACCTTTCCCCTCCCCCTCCCGTCGCTTCCCTGCACCCACCGGGAGGCTGGCAATGATGTCGCAGAGGGTCAATGATATCGCTGAGGTCATTTCGCCCCTTGTCCTCCCCCCTTCCCTTTTTTTTCCCCTTCCCCCTTTTCCCCTTACCCTTTTTCCCATTCCCCCCTTTCCCCTTCTCCCCATTCCCCTTCCCTTCTTTCCCCTTCCCCCCTTTCCCCTTCTCCCCATTCCCCTTCTCCCCATTCCCTTCTCCTCTTTCCCCTTCCCCCCGTCGCCCTTCCCCCCCTTCCCCCTTTCCCCCCTTTCCCCCCTTTCCCCTCTTTCCCCTCCCCCAACGTCGCTCCTCTCCACCCACGGGAAGGCTAGCGATGATGTCGCTGAGGTCAGCATGAGTCAGCGTGTCCCGCGCATTGGTCAGCGCCTGGAGCGCCACCTCAGCAGCCTCCAGCGTGAACACCTTGCTGGTGAGCTTCACCTGTAACAGGGTAATAGGGTAAGATGGCAACAAGATGGCACTAACATGGATAACATCATTCATATGAGTAGCGCGAGGAACAGGATGGGGTAACATGTGTAATATGCATAACGTGAGTAACATGGGTACATGCGTGTTGTCAAGCATGGTAACATGGGTACATGCGTGTTGTCAAGCATGGTAACATGGGTGTGTGTTGCACAAGCATAGCACATTTGGTTGTAGCACGTATGGATGTATGAGGTTCGTGTGTGTAAGAGGTAGTGTGTGTAAGAGGTAGTGTGTGTAAGAGGTAGTGTGTGTAAGAGGTTAGCAGGCACTGCGAGGGTTGAGAACGAGGCACCTTTTTGCAGTCATTGTTGGGCTTGAGCAATGGAGCAAGAAGCTTCTCCGCTGCTTCCTTGTTCAAGGCCTCCCTCTTTCCACCAGAGATGTCAAACTGCCACAAGACCAGATTGATTGATGAGCGTTAACAGGCTCACATCACAATTGACTGCAGACATGGTTGTAGCGCGTATGGGTGGAAGCAGATCCAGAACGAACGAAATTGTTGAGAGTGTTCAATCAAAACACTCCCGACGTTTAAAGTTCAAAGGAGAGAGAGAGAGAGAGAGAGAGAGAGAGAGAGAGAGAGAGAGAGAGAGAGAGAGAGAGAGAGAGAGAGAGAGAGAGCGAGAGAAACGTTAGCCCTCTGCCCTCGGCCTTCTCCCTCTGCCCTCTGCCCTCCCGGCCTATTTAAGGCCTGCTCTAGCTTGCCTCTCCTCATTATTTTGTCGTGGGTTCATTTTCGGCGCTCGCGAGAGAGCGAGAGAGAGAGAGAGAGAGGAACGTTAGCCCTCTGCCCTCGGCCTTCTCCCTCTGCCCTCTGCCCTCCCGGCCTATTTAAGGCCTGCTCTAGCTTGCCTCTCCTCATTATTTTGTCGTGGGTTCATTTTCGGCGCTCGCGAGAGAGCGAGAGAGAGAGAGAGAGAGAGAGAGAGAGAGAGAGAGAGAGAGAGAGAGAGAGAGAGAGAGAGAGAGAGAGAGAGAGAGAGAGAGAGAGAGAGAGAGGAACGTTAGCCCTCTGCCCTCGGCCTTCTCCCTCTGCCCTCTGCCCTCCCGGCCTATTTAAGGCCTGCTCTAGCTTGCCTCTCCTCATTATTTTGTCGTGGGTTCATTTTCGGCCGCCGCCGCTCGCAAGCGCGGCCTTCGGCCGCGCGTTTGGGGAGGCAAGTCAACACACAACGGAACAGCTTATAAGGGGGAGCATACGCAAAGCCACACGCAAGGGAGAAGACCTACGGCAAAGAAGCAACAGAGATGCAATTCTACAAGAGGCGGAGGCCTACATCGTGTACGGCTCCGCCCCCTCTACCTCAAGCATGGAACGCATGCACGCCGACATCGACAGCAGGAGGTGCGCCGACGACTGAAGTGTGTCCACCGGAGTCCCGACTCGAGCAACCCCTACAAGATCCCCCACGTGGCGGGGGAAAGTACGGGCTAAGGGCGCTACCCCGGCGGGCGCTTCCGACACGGGTGCCAACGGCGACTCGAGCGATTCTGCCAAAGACACGCAGGATCCTCGGGATCCTGGACCGTAACTGCTCGGAAAGCTCCGCGTGGCCCCACACACCGCCAGCTGTAGATTCGCCACCACTTCGCACGCCTCCACCAAATTCAGGAGACGACACATGGTCAGCATGGGGTCTCTCCCCGCGGGAATGGGAGGAGGTGCAGTCGGTGCTCCGCGCGGAAACACCGTCGGCCAGCCAGGAGTCCGGCCAACAGAGAAGCGCGGCACGGAGAAGCCCTGGACCGGACGGGGGGTGCGAAACGGAGCCCTCCCCTCCCGCGCGGGCAGATATTCGCGCAGCGTCGGCGCGCGCAGAGGAGCCGCCTGGCCAGGGCTCGGTTCGAGGGGAGGGCCGTTGGTCACCGCGATGTGTACGTGCGTCTCCTCCTCACTTGCCCGCGCCTGTCGCACCACTTCCGCGAACGCATTCGCGGCTTGATCAAGGGCTGGATCCTGCCCGCGCCCATTACCACCGCGCCCACCTCCATTCCGCCGGCCACGACGGCCGCCAGAACCAGCCGAGCGCGGACGCGGAGGGGACTGCTCGCGGCGACCCGATTCCCAGCGACGCCCAGGCGACCCCCTCCCCCGCGTCGCCGGAGATCGCCGCGGAGACCGTTGCGCGGGGGATCGCGCTCGGAGTGAGTGCTGGCCTGCCCGACCACGAGGGGATCGATGGCGAGGAGACCGATGGCCCGCGGGGGACAGACGACCGCCAGCGCCGTCCCGATGGTCACCACGACGCTCAGGAGATCGGCGGCGAGGAGACTGCTGCCGCGATTCCTGATGCTCAGGGGAGCGCCGACGGGGAGAATGCTGCCGCGGTGGCTGACGCGGTGGTGAACGCCCATGCTCCTGACGAGGCGCACCAGCAGGGCGGTTGGACCCCACACGGGCAGGGGCCCACGAATACTCCGGCGAGGGGGGCTGAGGGACGCCTCGAAGAGGAAGAGACAGGCCGCGTTCGAAGCGTCGGACGGGCTCACTTGCGGAGGGGCGCGCGGAGGGACGCGGACGAGACGCGAGCGGCTCCAGCACCTGCCCCTGCTGCGCGCTCTCCGCTGTACCTTCCAGCGCAGGACCTTGACCCCGGGATGGGTCCATCATGGCCGACTCCACCGCCGCCGACGCCAGCGCACCGTCAAAGGAGGGGCGGTGCTGACGCCGCGCCAACCGCGAGGCGTTCGGGAGCAGCAAGAGAAAGAGAAACGCGCGGATTTTGGGTGGGACAAGGCAGCAACCGCCGCGGACGCGGCGCCTCGACGCGTAGAAGAGGCGCGAGCAGCTTTGCGCGAGCAGCACAGCAGGTCCTGCGGCAGAGAGCTAGGGAGGGAGGAGAAGCACTTGGTGTCGAACCTGAAAATGGATCTGGGGTGACCCTGACTTTATCCTTGAAAGAGAGGGAAGTTCGAATCCCTCAACAGAGGAGGAATTGGTGGAAGAGATTGACCCAGCTGGGGGTCGAACCGCATCCACAATTCGACAACCCCAAAATCGGGCCGCGAGGGGAAATCGAGCCGCCCCCAACACCCGGGTTACCATATCGCCTGCCAATAACCCAGCTCCCGAGCCTGCCACCCCTGTCCCAATCATCAGCGCGGACGATTTGGCGACGCGTCAGGACCTTTTTGACGACGTCGCCAACTGGGACCTCTGCCCGCTGCGCAACAGCAGGCAGCCCCCCCTCGCCCGTCACCCACCCCGCCCACTTCGCGAATCCTTCGCGATATGCCTGCTGACCCCACTGCTGCACCTGGCGAAAAACCCTGACTCCACTGCGGGCTGGAAGCTGCTAATGTTTCTCCCGCGCGTTCTGCTGCGCACCTCGTCAGCACGCTCCCCCGACTGGAAAACCATGGGCGCAAGGCTGACGCGATTCCGCCAAGGCCTGTGGCGCAATACGACGAGGCAGCTGGCGCGGTTACCAGCGACCCCCAACCACGACACGTACCTGATGACACTAACAAGCTCTCGCGTGCCGAAGGCTTGGCTAAGAGAGGGAACCTGGCGAAATCACTGCAAACCCTGACTGCCACGCCCGTCTGCACGCCGAGCGCCGAAGTTCTCAACGCGCTCACAGCCAGACATCCAGACGCCACCTCGGCCATCCCTCCCTGGGTGCACGACTTTGCCCCAGAGAGCGTCCCTTCCATCGCTGCCAGGGATTTCAGACGGCTGCTAACAAAATGCCCCAACGGAGTGGGGGCGGGGCCCTCAGGCACCACCTTTGAGCACCTTAGAGACGCGGCCCTGGGGAACGGAGACGTTTTCGTGCAGCTGCATGCTCTTACCAACACGGCGCTTGCTGGAAAACTGAAGGCGGACGTGGCGGACCTCCTAACAGCGTCACGTCTCCTTGCCTTCTCGAAGCCGCAGGGTGGTACGCGGCCGATAGCCGTAGGCGAATGCCTACTCGGCCTCGTGGCCAAGGCGGCCCTTTTTCTCGCCGTTCCAGCGGCGCGCGAGCACTTCACCCCGCTTCAGTTTGGAGTAGCAATCGCGGGAGGAATAGAGGCGGCAATACACACCGCACGCACCTACCTGGAGGAGTTCCCAGGAGCGATGGTGCTTCAAATAGATCTAGCCAATGCCTTCAATGCTGTAGAGCGCGCAGCAGTGTTCGAGGGCCTGAGAGGCACCGAACTCGAAGTCCTAGTGCCCCTCGTACGCTTCTCTTACGGCCACTCATCAGCGCTCTACCTCGACCATGACTTTGCAGCAGAGCCACTCAAGAGCGCACGGGGCGTACGCCAGGGTGACCCGCTGGGACCCATGCTGTTTGCAGCCAGCATCCACCCTTGCCTCGTCCAAGCAGCAGCGGCTCACCCGGACGTGGTGTTTCTGGCGTATGCAGATGACATCACTCTGCTCGGGGAGGCAGCGAGCTGCACGGCGGCATTCACACACCTCACAGAAGCCCTCCGCCTCCTTGGGCTTGCCCACAACCCGGCAAAATGTGAGGCGTGGTCCGCAGCTGCGCTTGACCCCGCCACCTTACCTGCGGGCATCACGATCTCACCAGATGGAGTCCGCGTTCTCGGCAGCCCCATTGGCCCCCCCATCGGCTGTGAGGCACGTGTTCGTGAGCGCCTCGCAGCAGCGTCGGAACCGCTCACGCTCCTCGCCCTGATGGACCCCCAACTCTGTCTGCTACTACTCACCCGCTGCGTGAGCCGCCGCGCCTCGTTCCTGGTCAGAGCCACGCCCCCTGAAGCCCTGCCGTTGGAGGAGTGGTCGGCTTGGGGGGAGTCACTGCTCCACACCTACCTGGCCGCGGCACATACAAGTATCCCCAGGGACCAGGCTGAGAGGGACAGGATCTGGCACCAAGCCGCTCTGCCCGCGTCCCTAGGGGGCCTCGGCATCACCAACCCTGCAGTGGAGGGGAGATTCACCTACCTGGCTTCGGTTGTTTCGGCCGCCCACCTGCTACGCTCCTTCGGCGACTCGGCAAACCCGAGCCTATCAGGTCTGCTGCCGCTGATGGAGGCGGACGGAGAATCCACATCCCTCCTCCCTCGACGCCTCGCCGCCCTGGAAACCGAACTGCCACCTGAGGGAGTAGACGCCTTGCAGACAGGGAGACAAAAGCCTAACGGGCCGAAACTACAGCAAGCCCTCTCCCTCGCAGTGCACACAGCCCGCTACATCCGACTGCTGGACAGCTCACGGAACATGGAGCCGAACCCACTGTTCGGCCACACGCAGAGGCTACAGTCCCTTTTAGGACCGGGGGCGGGGGATTGGCTGCTGGCCATTCCCCTGATCCCTTCCCTCCGCCTCGGACCCTCCCAGTTCTCCACCGCGGCATCCTTCCGCCTGGGACTGCCCCTACCTGTGCCGAGACGCTGCAACTGCAGGTACCGCACCACCTTCCCGGACCATCGCCTGCCGAACCACTTGATGCGGTGTGAAAAAGGGGGGGGGGAGAATCAGCACTCACAATGCTTTGAGGGATGAGTGCGCGAAGATAGCGGCTGAAGCGGGATTCACGGTGCACAAGGAGACAACGGCATACTCACCGGTCGAAAACCTCAAAGCGGATATCTCTATCCGCCATCCCGACACCGGCGCAGTGTGGATATGTGACATCACAGTCACGGACCCCGTCTCCCACCAGGATGAGTACGCTCGCAAGGCACCCGGGTGGGCGGCTAGAATGCAAGCGGACAAGAAGGAGACCAAGTATGCCGGGAGGAGCCCGTGGGTGGGCTTCTACGCCTTGGCCGTGGAGACCTACGGGTACCCCTCAGCTGGAGTCCTCGATTTCCTTCGCAGCTGCGCGGAGCTGGCGGCTAAGCGGCGGTTCAACGCCCCACCGAAGTCGAGGGAGGCGGCGAAACTACTCACCGAGTACCGCCAGCGCTGGAGCGTGACCCTGCAGAGAGCCCAAGCCAACGCCCTCAGGGACAAGACCCATGAGGCACTTACCGCGGATGTGCTTGGCCTGCAGGGTCCGTTCACTCCACTGAGCGAGGACCAGCTATACCAGTTGGTAGAAGACCCCTCCGGCCACTAGGGCCGGAAGGGGAGGGGGGGGGGCGGCAGTAGAGGTGCCGGGATAGGGGTTTGATATAGTTGCTTTGCTGCATGTGTTTGCTGACGTACCTTGTTTGTACCGCGATGATATTAATGCGAAGGGCCGTTCGAGAGAGAGAAAAAAAAAAAAAACAACAATAGGGACTGTGCACCCATGTGTGCACTGATATGTTGATGAAGAAGCCACATGTGCTCACAACAGTGCTCGCCACAACCAACCTCAGCGCACACCCAACATCAACGCACACCCAACATCAACGCACAACCAACCTCAGTGCACACCCAACCTAAGTGCACACGAAGTCACGAGCAGATGACCTTCAGCGCCCAACCCCTCTTCCGATCCCGCATCTAAGCCCCTAACTCATCTCTCTAACCCCTTTCCCCGCAGCACCCGAATCTCAACCGAGACTCACCAGCCCCAACCGAACAGGCGCTCACCTCCTCAAGCACCTCCGCCGCAGCCGCAGCTGCCCCCTTGCTGCGCGCCTTCTTGAACGCCCTTCGTCCACCATGAGCTCGCTCGCGTGCCCTGCGCCACGCACATTGAATCCCCAGTCCTTTTGAGTCGACTCAAAATCCCACTCAGCAGCAGCACTCACCTCCTCAACCCCGCCTTCCACGGCGGCGCCCTCCCCCCCCTTGCTGCGCGCCTTCTTGAAAACGTCCACCATGAGCTCGCTCGCATGCCGCGCGTACATCATCACCAGCGCGCTGCCCTTCACCGCCGCGCCCCCCTCCTGCGCGCGCTGCTGCGTCGCCGCGAACGCCTCCGCCAGGCTGCGCGCCACACCATCGTCTACCCGCTGTGCCTGCAATCGAGGGAAGGGGGAAGGGGAGATGGCGGAGTGAGGGGGGAGGCGCGCGGCACTGACGCGCTGCAGCGTCACCGCAGACGGTTCAATGCTCTCCGCCAGGCTGTGCGTCACACCGTCGTCCATCCGCTGCGTATGGGATCGGGGGAAAAGCGAGGGAAGAGGGGAGGGGGGGCGGGGGGAAAGGGGGAGGTGGGGGGGGAGGGTGACGGAGGGGTGAGGGGGGAGGAGGGAGGCACTGGGGTGCCGCGCGGGGTGAGGGGGGAGGAGGGAGGCACTGAGGTCGTGACACCTCCGCCTCGATGCCCTTCGTCAGGTTGCGCGTCCACCCGCTGTAACTAGGATTGGGGGGGAAGGGGAGGGCGGGGGGAGGGTGACGGAGGGGGAAGGAGGGAGGGCGGAGAGCGCTTCATTTTCTCCGCCAAGCTGCGCGCCACGCCGTCCACCCGGAGTGACTGGGATTGGCGGGAGGAAGGAGGGAGGGGAGGGGGGGACAGGGGAAGGGCGGAGGAATGAGCGGGGGGAAGGGAGGTGCTGGCGCGCAGTGCGTAGATCGTGACGCATCCGCCAAGCTGCGCGCCGCACTGTCGTTTACTCGCTGCGACTAGGATCGGGGCGAGGGAGGAGCGAGAACAGGGGGATAAGCCGCGGGGGATTCATTTTCTGCGGATTTCAATCGCACACCCGTCGCACGGACCTTGTCCTTAGAGAAGCAGGTGCTGACAAGGTTGGTGCTGATGCGATCCACGATCTTCTGTCGCCACTTTTGTTGAAATAATACGTAAAACGAACGTTTGCATGCCGATTTAGCTCAGTGGTAGAGCGCGTGGCTTTTAACCACGTGGCCGTGGGTTCGATCCCCACAATCGGCGAAACGGGCGGTCGTTCATTTAAAGTGTATGTTAATGGTTTGTTGTTTTGTTGTATTATGGCGGGACAAGGTGAATCTCACCTCTTGTCAGGTCCAACCAGGTCGTCGATGCGTGTGAGTCTGCCTCTAATCACGTGTCAATCTCGTGTCAATCTTTCCTTTCACAAAGTAGTTGAATATACTCTTTTAGACGCGTTGCTAAAGCCTCCGAAGCGTCTTAAAGCGTCGTGACCTTGTAACGAGGACATGGCAGCGGCGGATGCAGTGGTGGAGGTGGTGAGCAGGCTGTAGAAAAACATCACGGCGCATTCCGACATCGTTTAGGGAGGATGCGCGGGGATGGCGGCCATTGCTGCCGCCGCGAGTGGCAGAGGTGGCTCGTCCGTGTCGCTTCAGGACGCGGATAAGAAGAGCCACCGAGCGGCGCGGTGAGGGCCGACAGCGGTGTGCAAGGAGAAAGATAAAAAAAGACGCGGCGTGGACGACGACGCGGAGGAACGCGAGAACCCGCGAGTAAGCACCTAAGTGGCAGGGAGACGTGCATTAGTAGCTCCAACGATGCGAGGAGGAGCAGGATTCAGATGAATACAGTCTTGCGGGGTGAGGATGGACAAGAGCTCGCGAGTGCTCCCGAGTAAGACGTTTTTAGCCTTAGTAAGACGTATGTCGGCGTAGTATGTTAAAACTCGGGTTCCTAGGTAGAGAGGGAGAGTTCGATTTACGTGCCACGTCATCAGTCACGCCCCCCGATGCCTACGAACGTTCGTTCGTATGCGCTCGTGTCTACAACAAGCGACCTGGTTGTGATCAGATAAAATCCGTACAGATTTTTGAGAATGATAAAAAATCTCTCTACATGCGTCGTGTCGTGCCTGTTCTTGATCCCTTAAACCCTCATAGTCCGCCGAACCTAACTGGCGTTAGAATCTGAACCACGATAAACCGTGGGGTGTTCAATCTTCAGATGTCAGAAGGCGAGGGTTTTACTACAGATGGAAGCTGCCTCGTGCTTAAACCCTGTACCTTGTACCCTGTACCCTGTACCTTGTACCCTGTACCATGTACCCTGTACCCTGTACCCTGAGTGTCCAACCTCCTCTGATGAATCCGTTTGGTTTTCTCTTTGCTGCTGGCTCCTGCTCGTCCCTCTCACGCGCTTGCTATTCGCTCGCTCGTCGCGCTGATGAGTCAAGCTGCAGCAAATTGCGAGCGGGTGGAGCAGCAGCAGCAGCTGTTGCACCTTCTATTGCTTTCAGGCAGTCGCGCCAAGCCAAGCTGCAGGTTGCGAGGCGGGAGGGTGGAGCTGCAGCAGCGGCGCATGCATGCGTGCGCCCAGTGCTGCTGCCACGCGCGCACAGGCTCTCGAGCCTCCGCTCTTGGTGGTGCTGTTTGCAGGGGCCGCCAAGGTGAGTGGTTGTGTGTGTCAAAGGCTGTGGTGCATGCATTAACACACCCACGTGCATGTATTAACACACCCACATGTATGCATTAACACACCCACATGCATGCATTAACACACCCACATGCATGCATGCACATGCCCAGTGCCGCTGCCATGCCGCGCGCTCACAGGCCCTGGAGACATCACCTTTCGTGGAGCCGTGCTGGTGCAGTGCAGGGGCCACCCAAGGTGGGTAATTGCAGTGGTGTTTGTTTCTGTGATGAGGCTCCCAATCACATGCACACGCCCAGTGCCGCTACCACGCCACGTGCGCACAGGCATTGGAACCGCCACCGGTTGTAATGCTGGTGCAGGGTCCCCCAAGGTGAATGGTCGCTGTGGTGCTGCGTCCATTGAAGCATGTGTAAAGGTATCAGCACGTGGTGCATGCGCCGAGGCATCAGCACGTGGTGCATGCGCCGAGGCATCAGCACGTGGTGCATGCGCCGAGGCATCAGCACGTGGTGCATGCGCCGAGGCATCAGCACGTGGTGCATGCGCCGAGGCATCAGCACGTGGTGCATGCGCCGAGGCATCAGCACGTGGTGCATGCGCCGAGGCATCAGCACGTGGTGCATGCGCCGAGGCATCAGCACGTGGTGCATGCGCCGAGGCATCAGCACGTGGTGCATGCGCCGAGGCATCAGCACGTGGTGCATGCGCCGAGGCATCAGCACGTGGTGCATGCGCCGAGGCATCAGCACGTGGTGCATGCGCCGAGGCATCAGCACGTGGTGCATGCGCCGAGGCATCAGCACGTGGTGCATGCGCCGAGGCATCAGCACGTGGTGCATGCGCCGAGGCATCAGCACGTGGTGCATGCGCCGAGGCATCAGCACGTGGTGCATGCGCCGAGGCATCAGCACGTGGTGCATGCGCCGAGGCATCAGCACGTGGTGCATGCGCCGAGGCATCAGCACGTGGTGCATGCGCCGAGGCATCAGCACGTGGTGCATGCGCCGAGGCATCAGCACGTGGTGCATGCGCCGAGGCATCAGCACGTGGTGCATGCGCCGAGGCATCAGCACGTGGTGCATGCGCCGAGGCATCAGCACGTGGTGCATGCGCCGAGGCATCAGCACGTGGTGCATGCGCCGAGGCATCAGCACGTGGTGCATGCGCCGAGGCATCAGCACGTGGTGCATGCGCCGAGGCATCAGCACGTGGTGCATGCGCCGAGGCATCAGCACGTGGTGCATGCGCCGAGGCATCAGCACGTGGTGCATGCGCCGAGGCATCAGCACGTGGTGCATGCGCCGAGGCATCAGCACGTGGTGTATGTGGTGATGTGGAAGTGATGATTGTCGTTCGTCCTTGGTGCATGCATCAATGTGTGCGTGATGTTGACCTGCATGAATGTGTGCGTGATGTTGACCTGCATGAATGTGTGCGTGATGTTGGCCTGCCTCAACATCACTCACACCTTCCTCCTTGCCTCACTCATTCACTTGCTCTTTCCTTCCCTCTTTCCTTCCCTCTTTCCATCCCACTTTCCATCCCTCTTTCCTTCCCTCTTTCCTTCCCTCATTCCTTCCCTCTTTCCTTCCCTCTTTCCATCCCTCTTTCCTTCCTTCTTTCCATCCCTCTTTCCTTCCCTCTTTCCTTCCCTCTTTCCTTCCATCTTTCCTTTCATCTTTCCTTCCCTCTTTCCTTCCCTCTTTCCTTCCCTCTTTCCTTCCCTCTTTCGATCCCTCTTTCCTTCCCTCTTTCTTTCCCTCTTTCCTTCCCTTTTTCCTTCCCTCTTTCCTTCCCTCTTTCCTTCCCTCTTTCCTTCCGTCTTTCCTTCCCTCTTTCCTTCCCTGTTTCCTTCCCTCTTTCCTTCCCTCTTTCCTTCCCTCTTTCCATCCCTCTTTCCTTCCCTCTTTCCATCCCTCTTTCCTTCCCTCTTTCCTTCCCTCTTTCCTTCCCTCTTTCCATCCCTCTTTCCTTTCCTCTTTCCTTCCCTCTTTCCTTCCCTCTTTCCATCCCTCTTTCTTTCCCTCTTTCCTTCCCTCTTTCCTTCCCTCTTTCCATCCCTCTTTCCTTCCCTCTTTCTTTCCCTCTTTCCTTCCCTCTTTCCTTCCCTCTTTCCTTCCCTCTTTCCTTCCCTCTTTCCTTCCCTTTTTCCTTCCCTCTTTCCTTCCCTCTTTTCATCCCTCTTTCCTTCCCTCTTTCCTTCCCTCTTTCCATCCCTCTTTCCTTCCCTCTTTCCTTCCATCTTTCCTTCCCTATTTCCATCCCTCTTTCCTTCCCTCTTTCCTTCCCTCTTTCCTTCCGTCTTTCCATCCCTATTTCCTTCCCTCTTTCCTTCCCTCTTTCCTTCCCTCTTTCCTTCCCTCTTTCCGTATTCCCCTCTCCGGGAGGCCGTTGAGCTCCTGAGCATGCCACAGCTGCACGGCTTCTTCAGGCTCATGTGCATGCTCTGTTCACTCTGCGCCACTAACCTGTGCTTTCCTTGTTCCTTGCCCGTGCATTCCGTGCTCTCTCCTCAAGGAGATCTTTGAGGTCCATGTTCACGGTTTCCCCAGGCTCATGCGCATGCTCTGCTTATGCATCTGGATGGCTTCAGAGAACCACACCTGCGCAAGCTCACTTTCACCCCTTCCCACTTCCACGCTCCCCTCCCCTTTTCCCTGTCTTTATGTCCCCTCTCCCCTCTCCCCTCTTCTCTCTGTCCCCCTCTCCAGGAGACCTTTGAGTTCTTGAACATGCTGCAGGTGCACGGCTTCCCCAGGCTCATGAGCGTGCTCACCTGATGGTCCCCAGCCTTTGATGGCCATACATTCTGTCTCTCTTTCCCTCTTTCCCATGGGAAACCTTTGAGTTCCTGAACATGCTGCAGGTGCACGGCTTCCCCAAGGTCATGGGCGTGCTCACCTGATGGTCCCCAGCCTTTGATGGCCATGCATTCTGTCTCTCTTTCCCTCTTCCCCATGGGAAACCTTTGAGTTCCTGAACATGCTGCAGGTGCACAACTTCCCCAAGGTCATGGGCGTGCTGACGCACGTAAATGGCTTCAGAGACCCGTGCAAAGCTGACGCACGTATGATGGGATGGGGCAAAGCTGATCTGCCGGTATCATGGGATGGGGCAAAGCTGATCTGCCGGTATGAGGGCGCATTGATGGCGGGTGAGGTGAGGCTTCCTGGGCGTATGATGGGAAGACATGGACAAGGTGAGGGAGAAGTCCCTCAAGCACGGCCTCTGGACCGGTGAGTGTACCCCTCTGGATCTATGATGGAGCCAAGCCAAGCTGTTGTACCTCTCGGGCCGGTGAGTGTCCCCGTCCACTCACAGATTCTGCTCACGGGTTTTTTTCCCTCATCCACCGCTTCTGGACCGACATCTATGATGGAGCCAAGCTCTCGGGGCTGATCCATGGCCGGTGAGTGAGGGCCGCTTGTGCCTCGCTGGCAGTGCGTGCATGCATGCATGCATGCAGGTAGGTAGGTAGGTAGGTAGGTAGGTAAGCTGAGGTGAGGGGATCACAGCAAGCAGCATGCTCAGGAAGACCAAGAAGATTCTGAAGCACCTGTAGGTGGTCTTCATTAAGTTGAGGGCTGCTCTTGACTCAAGTTGAGGGCTGGTCTTGACTCTTACTGGTGGTGTGTGCATGCATGTTCTTTGAGCTTAGCGTGTATGTATGTATGTATCACACCAGCAAGACCAAGAAGAGCCTCAAGCACGCCCTTCTGGTTGTGGCCCTTGTCATGCACATGACCTCCGTCGTAGGCATCCGAAACACGAGGTGCTGAATCTGGGTCGGTTTATTTCAGTGGCCAAGTTCCGCGCGCTGTCGTGGCGAACTGCCCACGGCTATTGGTGGCCGATCGAGTGAAAGATCTAATGGACATCGAGGAGGTTCGGAGAAACCCTAAATGTGATCGGACGGTTTCGATTTACGGGTATTTGCTCGGGTGCAACCTGAAGCAGGGATTTAAGGTGCATATTGCCGGGGTAGGTGACGTGGCGGTGGAGTCGATTTCGCAGCTGCCCGACCCCTACCTGCTGCCCGTTGCGAAAAATAAGAGTTTGAAACGAGCGGGAGAAGCTCCTGGATGCACCGATGGCTAATATAGGGGATATACTGTATGTGGTTTATATTAATGTTCTGGATCACCAGGTGCAGTATTTTAAGGCTGAGGAGAAGGAAAGAGGAAGAGGAAAAGAGGAGGATGAGGAGTGGTCAGATGAAAAAGAGGGGGGGGAAGAGAGAGGAGGATGATGGGGAGGGAGAGGAGGAGGAAGAGGAGGGGGAGGGGGGATGGAAGGGAGCGAAAGGGAAGGTGGGGGTGGAAAGCAGAAGGAAGAGGGAGAGGAGATGGTGAAAAACTCTGCAGGCTGCTGATGTGGCGGTTGATGATAAGCTGAAATCGAGCGCGGTCTCGCAGTTCAAATGGACGGCTCCGATTTGAGATGTGAGCAAGGTGGAGGGAGGGAGGGAGGAGGAGATGGGCGGGGAGGAGGAGGATGGAGAGGGGAGTGAAGTTGATGAGAGTGAGGGAGAGGAGGAGGATGGGGAGGGGGAGGGAGGGGGAGGAGGACCGGATTGAAAGAGGAGAGGAGGAGGGATACGAAGGGAAGGATAAGACGTGCAGTAGTGTTTGATGGTGAAGATTTTGGTGATGGTGAGGATGTTGGTGATGGTGTTTTTGCTGCTTGACTACAACATCAACTGGACAGAGGGCCCTCTCCAACTAGCAAGAGGAAGCATAAGGGGAAGGGCCCGGAAGGCTCGGATAGAGGAGGAATAGGAGAAGGTAGTGTGCGGCTTTGACCGGCTTTGATCAAGAGGAGTCAGATGAAGACGATGAGGCGGCAGATGCAGACGAGGAGGAACCCACCGTTGATGTGGTCACGGACAACCGTTTTCGCTCAGACGATGAGGGAGATGATGATGATGAGATACTCATGGATCAGACTGAATATTGGTGCAGCTGAAGGTTCATTGTAACTTCCTCTCACGGTAGGAGGTACTGGTAGGTAACTATGTAACATCTTGCACCTGGTCTGTTTCTAGTCTAATTTTGTGTTGTGGACACTTCACCAGTTCACCCCGGCCTACGAGCGCGTGACGCACTGCACGTGTGCCCGTACGGGCCGCCACTTGGCTACCTTCACTCGGCAGCCGGGGTCGGACCTGTACACACTGACCACTGAGTCCCCTCAGGTAGCGGTCGCTGCGTCTGCGTCAGGTCAGCTGTCGGCCCCCTGCTCGTGTCGCTCTCTGGCGCACGAGACTGTCCTCTGGCACCACCGACTTGGTCACCCGTCTGTGCAGCGCCTTCGGGCCATGCACTCCAGGTACCTTGTCTCTGGTCTTCCCAGGGTTCTCCCTCCTCTCCCTCCCTCGCCTGCTCCTCCCTGTCTTCCCTGTGTCGAGGGGCGGCAGCGCGCCGCTCCTCACTCCTCCTCCTTTCCCCCGACGACTGCTCCATTGCAGACGCTCCACATGGACGTGTGGGGCCCAGCCCGCGTCCGTGGTCAGGGTCAGGAGAGGTACTTCCTGATAGTTGTTGACGACTACTCGCGCTACACCACGGTCTTCCCCTTGCGCACCAAGGGTGAAGTCCCTGCTGTTTTGATCCCTTGGATCCGCAGAGCTCGTCTCCAGCTCAGCGAGCGTTTCCACTCGGACTTTCCTGTCCTGCGTCTGCACTTTGACAGAGGTGGTGAGTTCTCCTCCGACCTCTTGGCAGCCTACTGTGCTGAGCACGGCATTGAGCAGTCGTTCACGCTTCCGGCCTCTCCACAGCAGAATGGGGTTGCGGAGCGCCGCATTGGCCTAGTCATGGAGGTCGCCCGTACCTCCTTGATCCATGCGGCTGCCCCCCACTTTCTGTGGCCGTTTGCGGTCCAGTACGCTGCGCATCAGCTCAACCTCTGGCCCCGTGTCTCCATGCCGGAGACCTCGCCCACACTGCTGTGGACGGGGGAGGTTGGCGATGCGTCGCGTTTCCGGGTCTGGGGATCTCGAGCCTTTGTCCGCGACGCTTCCGCGGACAAGCTCTCCACCCGCGCTGTTCCCTGTGTCTTCCTTGGCTTTGTCCCTGACGCGTCTGGTTGGCAGTTTTACCACGCCACCTCGCGCCGGGTCCTTGCCTCTCAGGACGTCACTTTTGACGAGTCTGTCCCCTACTACCGCCTCTTCCCCTACCGCACTGCCCCACTCCCCCCCCCGCCTCTCTTCCTCGCACCAGGTGCTGCTGTGGTAGACCCCCTCCCCCCTCAGGGTGCCGCTCCCTCAGGTGTGTCCCAGGTAGACCCGGTTGACCCTGTTGAGGTAGCTGTTGACTCTCGTCCTGCTGGGGGTGCGGAGCCTGGGGGTGCTGAGCCTGGGGGTGCGGAGCCTGCGGTTGCGGAGCCTGGGGGTGCGGAGTCTGGGGGTACTGAGCCTGGACGTACTGAGTCTGGGGGTGCTGTGCTTGGGGGTGCTGAGCTGCAGAGTTCTGGGTCTGGGAGTGCTGAGTCTGGGGGTGCTGAGCCTGGGAGTCCTGCGCCTGGGGGAGCTCTCTCCTCGGAGCGGCTGCGTGAGTGGTACTCAGAGTACTGCAGCCTCCGGAGAGGTGCCTCTGAGACTAGGAGTGCTGCCGCGTCTGGTGCTGGTGCCTCCCCTCCTCAGCGGGAGCTGCCCTCTCTTGAGCGGATCCGCGAGTGGTACGAGCGGCGCTGCACTCTCCGGAGTGGAGCGCCTGGTGTCGCGGACCCTGGTGCTGGAGGTGCTGCTACTGCTGCTGGAGGCCCTGCTGGTATTGCGGACCCTGGGGTTGGAGCTGCTGCTGGTACTGCGGACCCTGGAGCTGGAGCTGCTGCTGGTGCTGCGGACCCTGGAGCTGGAGCTGCTGCTGGTGCTGCGGACCCTGGAGCTGGAGCTGCTGCTGGTGCTGCGGACCCGGGAGCTGGAGCTGCTGCTGGTGCTGCGGACCCTGGAGCTGGAGCTGCTGCTGGTACTGCGGACCCTGGAGCTGGAGCTGCTGCTGGTGCTGCGGACCCTGGAGCTGGAGCTGCTGCTGGTGCTGCGGACCCTGGAGCTGGAGCTGCTGCTGGTGCTGCGGACCCTGGAGCTGGAGCTGCTGCTGGTGCTGCGGACCCTGGAGCTGGAGCTGCTGCTGGTGCTGCGGACCCTGGAGCTGGAGCTGCTGCTGGTGCTGCGGACCCTGGAGCTGGAGCTGCTGCTGGTGCTGCGGACCCTGGCGCTGGAGCTGCTGCTGGTGCTGCGGACCCTGGAGCTGGTGCTGCTGGAGCTGCCGCGGGTGCTGGTGCCGTCTCTCCTGGTTCTGGAGTCACTGAGCGGCCCCGACCGTACTTCGTTCCGCTTCTCCAGCAGGTTCTTGGTCAGCCTCCTCCTCCTTGTCCTGCTCCCTCCTTAGCGTGTCCTCCGTCCGTCACGTCGCAGTCGCAGTTACCGCCTCCCTCGCCGCTCCCCGGTCCTTCTCCTTACTCTGGTCCCACGGGAGGTCTTACGGAGCGTCGTGAGCCTGAGTCTCGTCCTGTGTCGCCTGCGTCTCGCTCTACGTCGCCTGTCCGTGCTGCTCGCACTGGTCGTCGTGTCCCGCGTGAGCGCCCTCCCGCTGTCCCTGGTACTCACTACATGACTCTGCGTCCCTCCACTGCTCCTCAGCGTGTCCTTCTGCCGTCTCCTCCTGCGTCCTCTCTTCCTGAGCTTCCTGACCCGGAGTCTGACTCCCTTCGTGCTGCCCGTCCTACTATCACGCGTCTCCTTGCTACTGTTGTCACTGACCCTACCTTTGAGTCCTCTGCTGCGTCTGCTCTCGTTGCTGAGTTAGTTGACTTTGCTGCCGCTTGTCGTCTCGACTACGCCGCTAGCCTAGTTGCTGAGTCTGAGTCTGTCTGTCCTCCGTCCGTCGGGGGTGAGTGTGCTCTTGGCACGGACGTCCTTGAGGACAGGCAGGAGGAGTTCCAGTGCTTTGCTGCTGCTTTACCTCATCTCGTGTCCATGCTAGTTGCCCCTGAGGGAGACCCGGATGCACCAGACATCCCGACCCCGCGCTCTTACGCAGAGGCGATAGCGGGTCCCTACTCCTCTCAGTGGCAGACAGCCATGGACGCAGAGATGGCTTCCTGGAAGTCCACAGGCACCTACGTCGACGCTGTTCCCCCACCAGGGGCGAACATCGTCAGTGGCATGTGGATTTTCAGGGTGAAGCGGCCGCCGGGTTCTCCGCCTGTCTTCAAGGCGCGTTACGTTGCTCGAGGCTTCAGCCAGCGTGAGGGAGTCGACTTCTTCCAGACCTTCTCCCCCACCCCGAAGATGACCACTCTTCGGGTGCTGCTGCACATAGCCGCTCAGCGTGACTACGAGCTTCACTCTCTTGACTTCAGCACTGCTTTCTTGCAGGGTAGTCTGCACGAGGAGATCTGGCTGCGCCGCCCTCCTGGCTTCACTGGGTCGTTTCCTCCTGGTACCCAGTGGAGCCTCCGCCGGCCGGTCTACGGTCTCCGCCAGGCACCACGTGAGTGGCACGACACACTGAGGACGACACTTGCGGCACTTGGGTTCGCGCCTTCTACTGCTGACCCGTCGCTGTTTCTGCGCACAGACACTTCGTTGCCGCCGTTCTACATCCTCGTGTACGTCGACGACTTGGTCTTTGCCACTGCTGACACTCAGGCTCTCGCCCACGTGAAGTCGGAGCTGCAGAAGAGACACACGTGCACAGACCTGGGTGAACTGACAAGCTACCTTGGCTTGCGGATCACCCGGGACAGAGCACGGCGCACCATTACCTTGACTCAGTCACACATGGTGCAGCAGGTCCTTCAGCGCTTCGGCTTCACGTACTCCTCGCCTTAGTCCACTCCTCTGCCTACCGGTCACTCGCTCTCATCTCTGCCTTCGGATGAGTCCGTAGAGCCGAGTGGCCCGTATCCAGAGCTTGTGGGCTGCCTCATGTACCTGATGACCTGCACTCGTCCTGACCTTGCATACCCTCTTAGCATCCTTGCACGCTATGTCGCTCCTGGCCGTCACCGGAAGGAGCACATGGATGCCGCTAAGAGGGTGTTGCGCTACTTGTGCAGTACGTCGGGCATGGGGCTAGTGCTTAAAGGGCGAGACCGAGTTGTTCTCACTGGGCACTCAGACGCTTCTTGGGCGGACGACCAGGCCACTCAGCGGTCGTCTCAGGGTTACACCTTCAGCCTTGGCTCCGGTTCAGTTTCTTGGCGTTCTACACGTTCTTCTTCAGTTCTCAGCTCCAGTTGTGAGGCTGAGATCTACGCCACAGCCATGGCGGCCCAGGAGCTACGCTGGCTCACCTACCTGCTGACCGACTTGGGAGAGCGGCCTCGTTCTCCTCCAGTGCTGTACGTCGACAACAAGGCTGCCATTGCCTTGTGTGAGGAGCACAGACTGGAGCACAGAACGAAGCACATCGCTCTGCGGTACTTTCTGGCTCGTGAGCTGCAGCAGCGTGGTCAGCTTTGTCTGCGTTACGTGGCCACTCAGGCCAACACTGCTGACGTGTTCACCAAGGCGCTTCAGCCTTGTGACCATCAGCGCTTCTGTACTCTTCTAGGCCTTGTGCCTACTGGACCTCACTTGCTTACTTCTTGACTTTGTTTGTACTGTGATCTCTATATATATACCTGCATGCTTTCACTTGCTAGGTTGTGATCACTGTACCTCTTGTTATATTATGAAACTGCATGTGAACTGGTCTTGTGACCACTTGCTTGTGCTCGGAATTTGTGTGGTATCCTTGAGATCCACCCTGAGCTTGTTTTGCCTTGCTTTGCTTTGACTGGTCTTGTGACCCTCTGGTTGTCCCCCACTTCGCCTATGGGGGTGTGTCAAACATTGCATGTTTATATTGTGTAGGCTTTAGTGGGTTTAGCCTTAGAGGGTACACAAACTTAGGGTTTCCTACTTGTACCCAACTTCCTGCTAGTTCATCCATTCTCTCGTTCCATTCAAGATTCTAACAAATTCTTCTAGGGCGAACCCGTGAATGTAGCCCGAAAATCGCGATGAAAATTCGTCGTTGCTCGAACTGTCAAAGTTTGTCGTTACACCACCAAAAATTTTGGTGGTACTTTCCGCAGCTACAGCTGGCAGCACCTAACGTGGCCGAATTAATTGCAGTTGTCGTGGGCGGGTCGAGTTGAGCGTTTCGTCGCTTGTAGAGCTGGAAGTCTCGTCCCGAAATCCTCTGACCGTGAAATCGGGGTGTAACGAATTCGTCGACGATGAATATGATTGGTGACGAAGATGAAGACGATAGTCGGCGAAGATCGTCGCAGGTGTAACAAAAAATGAATGTTATTCCGAAAATGTTGTCGAACGTCGATCCAGTGTCAGATGATGTTAGCACATTCGGCGGTTTTGTCCAGACTCGCCGAGCACTTTGTCGGAATTCGCCGATTACTCCTGGGCAGAGATGAAAAAATTACAGCTGTCTCTCTCCCCTTCCATTGTTGCTGGTGCCGCTTTCAGTTCGTCTTAAGTCGTTCGTACCCCTGAAAAAGTTCGTGTAGTTCCCGCGATGTTGCCTTTCGTCATTATGGCGCGCGTTTAACCAAACACTGAAATACTTCTCCGAAATTGTCGGCGCGTCCCGCTGTAAACCGGTAAGTTCTTCCGTAAAACTCAGTAAATGTCGGTCGAAATCAACCCCCGTAAATCCGCCGTTGCCGGTGAAGTTCGCCTCCGAAAATCTCGGACGTGCTCTAGCCACCCACTCGGTCACCATCAGTTTCCGTCGGTTACCCGACCCCAGCATGTGGGTTCAATCGAGAACCAGAAACTGCCCCTGGGTTATTCCAATACTGAATTTCACGGAACCTAGTGGCATCAACACCGTTGACTTCGTCGTCGAAACTGCTCCCGCCGATGTTGTTTTAACAAAAACCCACGTTTCTCCTACCGAGAAGTCCACAAAGCTACGAGTGCCCCCACGCTCCCTTTTTTCTGAAGGATTTCCCGAGGTGTGTGTTTAAACACCAGGGTCCTAGGAATCCTTGCCGGTGTGTTTCTTGCCAGGCAACTTAAAAAAGTGCCCTTCAGGCGAAGTCCCCCAACGGCTCAACCGCACTCCAAGAAGCGAAGAAATACCCACAGCTTCACAATTTTTTTTTGTCATTTCACCCCCCGACAATTCCGCTTCCCGCCGTTCACCCAGCGTCCGCTTTTGTCGGATGGGGTATAGTCGGTGTTGCCCGCGCGAACCAAGCCACGGTGGAGGGGCAAAGTCCATCGGAGTCGGGGTAGCCTTAGTAAAAAAGAAATCATTCCCAACTGCTTTGCAGCCCACCATGCCCGTCGCGCCACTAAAACTCTACAGCTCCTGGTCCCGAGCAGCTTCGCCGCTGCGCCGTCACCTCGTGTAGATGCCCGGGTCAGGAGAATCCAGCGAACTACACCATTGTTGTCATGCGACGCCCCGATAATTTCACGTGCTGTTTCACCCAGCCCGTTTTTGTCAGAGTATAACAGCGCCGCGAGCTCCACTTTTTTTGTCTTTTCTGTACAGCTGTCGAACGGGCACCAAACCAGGTGCTTTTAACCAGCGCAGGGTAGGCTCGTGTTCACCCCCGTTATTCATCCGAATAAGGTCGACTGCATGAGTCGGAACCAGTAATCGGTGGGGATGGTGAGGTTCGGGCGAAGTAGGGCCGCAGATCGGTTCCACCGGCTTTTATCTGCTCCCCACGACGTTCTTCAACCCCCGCTTAGCTATTGGGCAGTCTCTTTTCGCGTCTCCCGGCGGCCTGCACCACACTCCGAAATTGTCGGGGTGGCACCCTGAGCACCGTTTAATCGTGGGCTGTTGCGGCTGTCCCCGAAAACGGCTTCCTTGAACGGGGAAACCGATCTCGAAACTGTCGAGCGGCAGACACGCAGCAACAAACGAGTGTTTTTCGGGTGTTCAGTCCCGATATGCCCTCGCGCCTGCGCCCCACTCCCGCTTAGTGCGATTCAGCCACGTCGTTGTCTGTTGCAACCCGTAAGTGTCGGCGGGTTCAAAGTTCCCGACTGTCAACAAGCACTTCTGCCGAAAATCGTCGACGACTCGCTCGCCAATACGGGAAGCGCCGTACTATCCGGTCCGACGGGATGAAACTCAACCCCCGCTTAATTCGGGCGGATTGGGCGTCTATCTCTCCAGCCGTCGGGATCCTCTGACGCAAAACTCCATTTGCGCCTGGTGAGTTCTTCAAGCTGCCCTTTTCTTCACAGTAGAAACCTCCGAAATTGTAGCCCATGCTGACGCAGGCCCATTGTCGCCAGCTGCCGAAGATCCTCCCGAGAATCTCGCGCAACTGTTGACGCAGATCCGCCGACGTCAAACTGCCACACATATTGACGCATTCGAGGCCGTTCGTGCAGGTGCCGACGCAGGTCCACTAACGACAGCTGCCACATCGTCCGAAATCGTCCTACGAAATCGTCGGAAATGCTGCGGAAATTACTCACTTAAACATCGCGATAGCTACTGCTGCCCGTCGCCCGGGGGGGGGGAGGTCGCGGTCGATCGCGACCGTCGAAGGCAAGGATCTGGCGGTGCCGAGGAGTGCACTAAAAATCCATGGCCGCGAAGAGCAACTAACCCGTTCTCTTGGCCGGCCTACGCAACTCCTGGACCCCAAGGCATCCTTCCTCGTCCCCCCCCCGAGGGGTAATACACTCTAAAAAGCGGGGTAGGCTAGGAAAGTAGCTCTGATACCAGGTGTTATGAATGAACTTGCAGAGTGCGCAGTAAAACTATGAACGAACAGGTGTTAGAATCTAGCAGCACGAATGAACGAACTATGCTACATGCAGGAGTACAAGTAGTAAACCCTAATTGGGTTGTACCCCATGTGGGCTACCCCACTACAGCCTACACAATATAGTTTGACACACCCCCATAGGCAAAGTGGGGGAGAGCAAGGGGTCACAAGACCAGTCTAGAGAAGCAAAGCAAGCTCAGGGTGGATCACAACGTCACCACACACTCTGAGCACAAGCAAAGGGCCACAAGGCCAGTTCACATGCAGAAGTATATATGCAACAAGAACAGCACAGTGATCTCTACCTAGCAAGAGCAAGCATGCAGGTATATATATATATATATATATATATATATATATATATATATATATCACAGTACAAGCAGAGTCTACAGCAAGTGTGGAAACGTAGGCACAAGGCCTAACAGGGTACAAAAGCGCTGATGATCACCAGACGAAAGCGCCTTGGTGAATATATCAGCAGTGTTGGCCCGGGTGGCCACGTGAGCAAGGCGAAGCTGACCCCGCTGCTGCAACTCTCGAGCCAGGAAGTAACGCAGAGCGATGTGCTTCGTTCTATGCTCCAGTCTGTGCTCCTCACACAAGGCGATGGCGGCCTTGTTGTCGACGTACAGCACTGGAGGAGAACGAGGCCGCTCTCCCAGGTCAGTCAGCAGGTAAGTGAGCCAGCGTAACTCCTGTGCAGTCATGGCTGTGGCGTAGATCTCAGCCTCACAACTGGAGCTGAGAACAGAAGACGAGCGAGTAGAACGCCAAGAAACAGAACCGGAGCCAAGGCTGAAAGTGTAACCCTGTGACGACCGCTGTGTAGCCTGGTCGTCAACCCAAGAAGCGTCCGAGTGCCCAGTGAGAACCACGTCTCTCCGCCCTCCAAGCACGAGCCCCATGCCCGATGTACTGCACAAGTAGCGCAGTACCCTCTTCGCAACATCCCAGTGCACCTTTCGGTGTCGACCAGGAGCCACGTAGCGGGCCAGAAGGCCAAGAGGGTACGCAAGGTCAGGACGAGTGCAGGTCATCAGGTACATGAGGCAGCCCACTAACTCTGGGTAAGGACCACTCGGCTCTACGGACTCGTCCGAAGGTGGAGCTGAGAGCGAGTGACATGTAGCCAGAGGAGTGGACTGTGGCGAGGACCAGGTGAAGCCGAAGCGCTGAAGGACCTGCTGCACCATGTGTGACTGGGTCAGAGTGATGGTGCGGCGTGCTCTGTCCCGGGTGATCTGCAAGCCAAGGTAGCTGCGCAGCTCACCCAGGTCTGTGCACGTGTGTCTCTTCTGCAGCTCCGACTTCACCAGGGCGAGAGCCTCAGTGTCAGCAGTGGCAAAGACCAAGTCGTCGACGTACACTAGGATGTAGAACAGCGGCAGCGAAGTGTCGGTGCGCAAAAACAGCGACGGGTCAGCAGTCGAAGGAGCAAACCCAAGAGCCGCAAGTGTAGTCCTCAGTGTGTCGTGCCACTTACGAGGCGCCTGGCGGAGACCGTAGACTGGCCGCCGGAGGCTCCACTGGGTACCAGGCGGGAACGACCCAGTGAAGCCAGGTGGGCGGCGCAGCCAGATCTCCTCGTGCAGGCTGCCCTGTAAGAAGGCTGTGCTGAAGTCCAGTGAGTGAAGCTCGTAGTCACGCTGAGCGGCAATGTGCAGCAGCACCCGAAGTGTGGTCATCTTCGGGGTGGGGGAGAAGGTATGAAAGAAGTCGACTCCCTCTCGCTGACTGAAGCCTCGAGCAACGTAACGAGCCTTGAAGACAGGCGGAGAATCTGGCGGCCGCTTCACCCTGAAAATCCACATGCCATCAACGATGTTCACCCCTAGAGGGGGA